AGGAGAAAAGACTCAGGACCTCGTGGACCTGAACTTAGACAAAAAAAAAAAGGAGAGGAAAAACGAAGCACGGTGACCTCCTGGACCGGGCACTGTGCAACCTTCGAGTGTGGCTTAAACATGAACGACCATCTCCTTTCAGGTAGACAGCAACAACATGCTTTAGGTTTTAAGACTAGTGTTGACGGAGTTGAGGTAAAACGGATACATTATTTTCTCAGAGGAGCTGCAGGCTGGACTCTTGGAAAGCACGTGTCCACCAAGATTTGCTAGAGCCTCAGGCCCTGGAAAAACCCACTCGGAGCACTTTGTCCCTAGACACCCTTTCCGGTGGCGCGAACGCACTCTAGTCCACGTTCCCCACACTCCAAGGACACCGGGCCCGTGTGGCACAGGCTTGGGAGGGAGGGAGGGCCACGAGGTCAGAGGAAGAGGAGTGTGCAACACCCAAACCCCGCATCCAGGGGAGCCAGCGTGCGGGACCCGAGGCCATGCAGCCAGACGCCCACCACAGACACAGGGGATACCTTCTCTTGGGGCATCCACAATTCTGCAGCAACTTTCAAAAATTCGCTATTTTCTCGCTTCTGTTGAAATGCAGGTTTTGGACTTGCTGCAATTCACCCCTGACACTTGTTCTGAGCCCCAGAATTCCTCTCCCAGCCCAGAGCCTGCAGTGGACAAAGCCAGGCGCCTGGGCTTTTGGCAGTCCCAGGCCCTGAGGACCCAATCATGATTAACCTCATGTCTCCTTGGGGTGCCTTCTACTCCAGGCTGAGCATGAACAAACGAGACAGAAACCAGCCAACTCCACGCGGGTTATGTGGGGCCTCCTCTCTGCCCTCCACACACCCATGCACAAGTGCACACACCCACGCATGCAGACACTGCCACGCACATACCCACTGATGCACACAGACACACACATGGGTAGATACTCACCTATATGCACGTACACACCCGCTCTCCATGTGTCCACTCAGCCTTGTGTACACGGCCATGCACACCCACCCTCATACACACCCACGTGCACCTGGCTCCACACAACACACATGCGAAGGCAAACATGACGCTCAGGAAGGCGGCCTCTCAGGGCAGCGTCCAGTGTCCATCTCTCCCGGCAGGACCCCCACATGCCACCCCTGCTGGAGGCTTTGGCTTCCAAAGAAGAATCTAGTAGGTTCAAGGCTGGGTGGGCAGGACGGCAAGGATATAGCCCTGCCTGGGACAGAGCCTTCCTGGGGGAGGAGGGGGCACGGCAGGGACCCGAGGAGAGCTGGGCTGGTGGGTGATTAAGACAGGAGCCGTGTGGAGTAAGAACAAAGCCTTTACTCGTGCTCGGCAACAGCAAAGCAGGAGGCGGAGGGGAGGTGACGGCCCCTGGCCCGTTTCCCTCCAGGGAAGGCAGCAGGCGGGGAGGTGGGTCTGCTGGGATGGGCGCGTCAGGGGCAGTCTCACCCCAGGGGGCCCCAAACAAAAGGCTCCTCCTGTGGATGGGCCCAGGCACAGTGGGGCAGGAGCATGACCCAGGAAGGAGCCTGAGCCACAAGTCAGAGCAGAGCAAACACCTCTGTGGTCCCAGGGAAGAGGCTCCGAACGAGGCACCTGGGCTGGGAGCAAAGCTCTGGCTGACAGCGTGACCTTCCCGGGCCTGAGTCCCACTGCGGTGCCCGGCTGTGCACCCAGCCTGCAGCAGAGAGGGCAGCATCCCCCACAAAGCCTGCCAGGCTAAGCCCTTGCAATGGCTGTGGCTGGGCCAGGACCTTGATCTGGAGCCTGCTCCTTGGCACCTAGCCAGCCTGGCACCCGCCTTCAGCAACAGGTAATGGAGCCTGGATGGCAGCTCCCTCCCAGGTGCCCAGGTGCTGGGATGGACGCCTGTTGCCGTGGGATCAACCCTGAGGCTGGGTCAGTGGGAGGGGCACTGCGGCCCCGGCCCTCAGCCTGGCTGTCTTTGTTCTCCTAAAACACCCATCACTGCAGTCCACCAGGGGCTGGGAGACGGGGGCTGCAGGCTATAGCGCCAGAGGGTGTGCCAGGTGCTTGCATCTCACTGGTATGGCCATGGCACCTGAGGGAGTCCACTGAGGCCATGGGGGGCTCCAGCTCCCTGCACCTGGGACAGAGCGAGGCAGCCCTGGGTCAGGGATGGTTGGTGTCACCGAGAGATCGGGGCACCCTGCTTCTGCCTGGGACACCAGTCCGTGTCTGGGTAGAGAAGGCAGTGGACAGACTTAAACCTGGGGAGGGAAGAAGTGGGGGTCAGGGCTGTGGGTGGAGAGAGCACTGGGGGTCAGGGCTGTGGGTGGGCGTGCTGATGCCAGAGCCCCTGTGGGGCTGAGGGCCTGCCCATACCACTGCCCACTCACCGTGTGGGGTCCTGCTGCACGCTGAAGCCTCCAGCCACGTTCACCACGTTATGTGGGTTCTCAGGACCCCCATAGCTCAAGGTAACCTGGGAGAGAACGGTGTGGGCAGAGAGTGTGGCCTGGTCTGGTCTCGGGCCACGCTTCCCCTGGCCAGGAGCCCTGCTACAGCCCCCTTGCCCACCCACTTCTCCCCAAGTCCTCGGGGAGGCCAGGCTTGGGAACAGCATTGAAGGGTGCCATGAGCTGAGTGGGGGACACCTCAGGCGGAGCCTGGGGGACAGGAGCGAGGGATCTGAAACCTCCAGAGCAAAGCTGACCCTCATTCCGTCCCTGCTCCACGTGATGGGACCTGCTCGAGTCCCCATCACCACACAGACCACGCCCACTGCCCAGCTGGCGTGGGGCCTCCCTGGCCCGAGAACTGTGCTTCTCCCCTCGTCCCTCCACCCCAGACACCACACCCAAACCCCTTCTGTACCTGAAGACCCTGTATCCAGCAGACCAAGGGGCCTTTCCAGGGTCCACCCCCAGCCACATGCAAATCCCACCTGCCTGCTCAGCCGGGCATCAGGCCAGGGCAGTGGGGCCCCTGGGGGAGTCAGGGTGAGGCAAAGCCCACGTGGCAGAAGGACGCAGAGTGGCGCCGGTACCTGCTGGAGCAAGGTGTCTGGCGGTAGCCTCTGCAGGTTCTCCAAGTGGGAGTGGAAGAGGGGGCTGTGCAGCAGGCGGGCGCCCAGAAGCCCCTCCACGATGTAGCCCACCGTGCAGTCATCCGGCAGCCGCACCTGCTCAGCCGTGCTCATGAAGCTGCCCAGGCTGGGGGGAGGCCGGTCAGCAGCTTTCAGGTCTCAGCCTCCACCTCCCAGCCCAGGCAGCTGAACCCCCACTCACCTGGCCCACGGGCTCATCTTGAGGGCGAGGCCTCTGCTGAGGCAGAACCCGGCCCCACCAGTAGCAAACCAGAACTTGACCGTGGTCACCTGGGGATGGGGCGCCAGTCAGAGCTTCCGGGGCAGGGCTTCTCACCCCTGACTCTTCATGGGACTCCCCAGGCATCTTTCTTAAGCTGCCCCTTAGGAGATCCCACTCAGGTAACAGAAGTTTCCTGGGGTAAGAGGGGCCGGGGGCTTCTGCAGGCCATTGATCCGTGGCCTGCAGACCCTCCCCACCTGGTCCAGACACCCCCTCTCTGCCCAGAACAATGAGGGCCTCCTGGCCTGCTCCTGAAACACCACGTGCAAACCACCTGGGTGGATCAGCTTGGGCCCCCAGCCCTATGCCCTTCTCAAGCCAGCTTTCCACACCCTCTGCTGTGCCTCCTGGGCTGGCATCAAGAAAGGAATCTGCTCTGGCACTCACAGTTCTGCCACCCTGGACCCTCTCGGTGGCCTCGATGGGGTGGTCCAGGCTGGGCCGCCCCAGATAGACGTCCTGGCTGGGTGAGAAGCTGGAGAGCAGGTGCAGGAGGCTCCTGGGGTTCACATAATTGTCATCGTCCACGTGGCAAAACCACCTGTGGGCGAGGGGAGTCCTGGGCATGAGGGCCTGGCACAGCTGGACAGGAGGTCCCCACCCAGCTTGGCTCTGGGCTCTCCGTGGGTCGGGTCAGTGCCGCGTACTTGCGCCCAGACTCGATGAACTTGTCGTACTCCACGGACATCTTGCAGCAGAGGGCCTGGCGGGTGCGCACGGCCGAGCAGTTGGTGTTGATGACACGGCCACCACCTGCGAGTCGGAGACAGGAGAAGCACGCAGGTAGAGGCTGGCACAGGAGTCAGGATAAGGCCTGTGCCCCACCTGCCCCCAAGGGCCAGGGCATCATGTGGCTGTCTGACATGCCTGGACTCCTTGCCTGGGTCCAACCACAGCCCTAGCCCTCACGGGCTGACCCTGCTGGTGCCCCCGAGGCTGAAGCAGACGCCATCAGTTGGGATCTCTTGAAACAGGACAGAGGCAGCTCGTCCTAACCTGGCCTAGAAGGGCAGATTCCCTGCTGGGGCTTCTTCAGGGGACGTGGCACTAGCCCCACGCCCTGGGAAGCAGCCAGTGTGAGAGGCTGGTGGGCAGCAGAGCTTGGCTGGCAGGGTGTGCCCTCCGCAGGCCGTGTGACCTGGGCAGCGCCGTGGCCTACCCGGGCCTCCGGAGCCTCGACAGAGAGG